CTCCTATTTGCAGGAGAGGACATTGAAGCTCACAGAGATCAAGGGAAGTGCCCACAGTTGCAGAGCAAGTCATTGGCCAAGTGTGGATGAGAGCACACATTTTTTAACCTTCTTGGCCAGGACCCCTGTCACAGCCCAGCATCTGGTCCTGGGTGGTCCGGGCAGCTTCGACCTCACCTATCTTGCCAATGTGCACATTTAACCACAAGGGGGAGCCAGATGCCTGTTCATGGGGAAGTTGGTCACTGGCTTAGGGGTTGGAATGACTGCTGCTTTGGGGAGGCTCACTGGACTGGAGGGACACACACCACTGGAGCTGGGGAGTCCTGGTAAAGAAGGGGTGTGGGATGGATTTAACCGGAGTTCAGGAGCATTGTCTAGAATGGAGGGAGGATGTGGGAAGGGCATTTGTTGTCTTCTTCGGTCCCTGCCTTGTCTGGCCCTCTTGGGAAAGGGGGAGAGCTGGGGAAAGGAGGGCTCTCCAGATGGAAGGGCCCTGCCTCCGCCTCCATTCTCCTCAGTTTCACTCAGGGCCTGGGACAGACCGGACATTCCTAAGTCTCCAGCAGGGAAACCAGGAAATTAGACCTGGAGGCCAGACTCCCTGCATCCTGGGCCAATTTTCCCAAAGCCCGCCCAGTAACTTCCGGTAAGAGCCCTGCTGTGCCTGGGCACTGTGCTCTTGGCTTCTAAACACTGCTCCTCTTCTAGAACTTCCTCTGCACTCCTCCCTCTTGGCGCCTCCCTCCCCGGCTATGTGATCAGACCCATCTTCAGAGCACCAGCCCTGTTCAAGAAATTGTGATCCAAACTCATGACCTGTCCACCTAAACTTGGCCTTCTTCTGAAGTTCCCTCTTTCAGCAAATGACAACAGTATCTATCCAGTTGCTTGACTCCCAATAGCTTCGAATTATCCTTGACACCTCCTTCTATCTCATTTCCTGTATTCTATCCATCCTTTTACCTCCTCTGTCCACCTCTCAGTTTCCACCACTTGATGGACCAAATGCCAATCATCTCTCACGTGGATTGCTGCTCCTGTCAGGACTCCTTGCTACCCTTGCTACCAGTGTTGTGTCCCTCTCCCCCCGCCCCCACTATTCCTTCTCCATGTAGTATCTCTGATGATCTTTTTAAATTGCCAATCTGATCATGTCACCATCAGCTGGAACCTTTCAAAAGTTTCCCAGTGCTCTGGCAATAAAGACTAAACTCTTAGCATGGCCCAGAAGTTTCTGTGTGGTCTGGTCCTTCCCACCTCTCTGGCACCACGTTCCGTTTTGCTATGTTCCAGCTACACTGGCCGTGCCTGTCACAGGACCTTTGCATGTGCTGTTTCCTCTGCCCAGGACCTCACCCCTGTGTCTTGTTAACTCCTACTCCTTCAGATCTCAGCTCCAGCATCACTTTCACAGGTTCACCTTCTCTGACTCCCTGACCATGTCGTATTTCTTATTATTTAACTACATACTTCTCCTTCACTTGTTTGCAATAGTTGTAATTGTACATCTGTTTGCCATATTATTTAAGTTAGTGTCTATTTCCTCCACTAGACTGTAAGTCCATGTCAATTTGTGCTCACTGGAACATCTCCAGCACCTTACTCAGTGCCTGGCACCTAGTAGGTGCTCAGTAAATGTTTCTTGAATGAATAAGTAAGTTTATGTTGCACACTTGTCTCCATCTTTGTCACCCAAGACTAAGACTCTATCATGTCTAATCTGGACCTTGGCAATCACTTTTTTGGAAACATTTTATAGTTTTGTTTTTTTTTAAATGAAGAGAAGTTTATTTCCTCATAATCAAAGTAGGCTAAAAGTCCAAATTCAATGTGTCAGCTCCAGGGGAAGGCTTTCTCTCTCTTGGCGTTCTCATCAGTGTTCCCCCAGACTAGGAGCTTCTCGGCACAGAGACCCCGGTCCAAAGGACGCGCTCTGCTCCCAGAGCTGCTTTCTTGATGGTATGAGCTCCCCTTTATCGTGTTTTTGAAGAAAGTTTCCAGAGCAAATTAGTTTCCCATTCAATAAATTGTACACAAAGTGTCTCATGACATTGGTTGCAATCCCCACACTGTGTCAGCACTCTCCCCATTTCCACCCTGGATTCTCCGTTTCGTCTGGTTTTCCTACCCCTTCCGGCCTTTTCATCTTTGCTTTTGGGCAAATGTTGCCCTTTTGATTTCGTATAATTGTTTGTTCTACAGAGCATGCTCTTTTCGAGTGCTATTGTTTATTTTATAGGCCTGTCTACTGCTTGGCTGGAAGGTGGTTTCCAGGAATGGCTGAAGTTGCAAGTCAGAAGGGTGTCTCAGGGCCATAGTCTTGGGGGGTAATCACTTCTTAACTGGTCTTCCAGTTTACAATCAAGTCCCTACCAATCACTTTCTCACCCAACAGCCAGAGTGATCTAATAAAAACCATTCTGATCATGTCACCCGTCTCACCCGTTAACAGCCTTCAGTGGCTTCCCATGACCTTTGTAACAAAACTCATGCTCCTGAGCACAGCCTTACAAGGTCTTGCATAGTCTGGCTCACCTCATGCCAAGCTCCACCTCCCTAATGAACCTTCCTTAATTCAACAATGTTGACTGAGTGTCTCTTATGTACCAGGCACTGGGGATTCAATGGTGAGCAAAGACAGACTCACTGTCATGGGACTTACAGTCCTCCAGATACTCAAATACACTTCCTTCCTATGCAGGGCCTTTGCACGTGTTCTTTCTCTTGCCTGGTGCTTCTCTCTCCCTGATATGGATTGAACTGCTGCCCCCCAAATATGTGTTGGAATCCTAAACCCTATACCTGTGGATATAATTGTTTGGAAATAGGGTCCTCTTTGTTATGTTAATTAGGTCATACCCAAATAGGATAAGTTCTAAGTCTAATCACTTCTGAGTTATAAAAAGAGCAGATTAGACAAACAGGCACAATATATACAAGGGAGGGGGAACCCAGGGGGAACAGATGCCATGTGGTGCTTCTACCTAGGTGTGAAGTGTGAATGTGAGCTGCTGGCTGAAGGAGCCCTCACCAAGGAGAGGGCCCGGAAGTTGTTAGTCCCTTCCCCACCCCACCCTCAACACACTTATCATCCAGCCCCTGCCCACCTCTCTCCTCAGTAGTACAAACGATGAATGTGCCTGGCTGCTAACAGAAAGGTTAGTGGTTTGAGTCCACCCAGAGGTGATTTGAAAGAAAGGTCTGGTAATGTACTTCCGAAAAACCAGCCATTGAAAACCTCATGGAGCACAGTTCTATTCTGACACACATGGGGTCACCATGGGTCAACATTGACTCGATGGTAGCCTTTTTTTTTTTTCTTTTACCACCTCTCCAACCCGTTCTAGCTACTTCTCCTTTGTTCATGATACCCCACAACACTGGTCCGAGCTCCTCCTCCTCTGCAGCTTCCCTCATGCTGACTCCTCCACCTGCAACTCTTCTTCCTGCTTTTTTCCCATGGCTGACTCCTCATACTTTAAGTCAAGCTGAAATGCTGCATCTTCCGGGACACCTTCCCTGAGTTGGTCTCTGCACTACTGCCCATCTTTCCATCTAGTTCATTTCTTTCATTGTATCTCACAAGTTGGAAATAACTAAATATTTGTTTACTGTCTGTGTCCTTATATGAGTTAGAATGATTTTGGCCACAGAACATAAAGTTCAACTCACAGTGGCTTTAACAATAAGACAGGCTATAATTTTAGGTAATGACAACTCCAGAGGCACGACTGGTTTTAGGGTTGCTTGGTTCAGCAGCTCAGGGATGTTCTCAAGGACCTAGGTTTTCCCCATCTCTCTTTTCTGCCATCCTTGACATTGGCTTTGTCCTCAGGTTGGTCAGCAGGATGGATGGAGCAATTCCAGGCATCACATCTGGATCTCATATGAGCAGGGCTTTCTCCTCATGATGTGTATTAACTATTGCTGTGTAACAAATTATCCCCAAACTTAGCTGTTTAAAACATTTATTATCTTAGAGTTTCTGAGGGTTATAAATCCAGGAGCAGCTTAGCTGGTTGGTTCTGGCTCAGGGTCTCTCATGAGTTTGCAGTCAAGCTGTTGGCCAGGGCTGCAGTCATTTGAAGGTTTAACCGGGGCTGGAGAATCTCCTTCCAAGCTTATTCATGTAGCTGTTGGCAGGAGGTTTCAGTTCCTCGATACATGAGCCTCTCCATAGGTTGCTTACGATATAGCAGCTGCCTATGTCCAGAGTGAGTGACCCAAGAGCAAGAGAACAACTGAGGCAGAGTGTCTGCAGTGTATTTTATAACCTAATCCTGGAAGTGACACACCCCTACTTCTGCTGTATTCTACTGGTCACTCAGCCCAACCCTGAGGCACCGTGAGAATGGACTACACACGGGTGTGAATGCCAGGAGGCGGGGGTCATTGGGGATCATCTTAGAGGCAGGCTACCATATTCCCTTTCTTTTCAAAAGCGAAGAAGCCTTTCCCAGGAGCCTGCAGGAGGCTTCTCCTCATGTCTGTTGGCTGGAATCATGTCATGTACGCATGCCTAAACCAGCCACTAATGAGGGGTTTCAGGCCATTGTTTCTGGCTCATGACAATCATGATTCACCCCTGGGGCTATGATCCACCTCCACAGAAGCACAGGATGGCATCGAGGAGGAAGATGGGTTGTTTGGAAGAAGGATGGGGAGATGGAATGGATGTTGTGTAGATAACCCACACTGTCTATGACACTCACCCACTAGACCATGAACTCCATGAGAACAGAGGTTACATCTGTTCCTGTACTGCATCCCTGCATGTAGCCCATTGCCTCGTACAGAATACACAACAATATTTGTTGAATAAATAAATGAATAAATTCATGACTGAACTAGAAGCCCATACATAGGACAGGGGATCTAGGACTGATATCACCAGATGGAACAGACACCCACAAAGCCCTAGGCTCCATAAATTCTTCTTAGAACTCAGGAGGCCACCTGTGCCCACCCCAACTGCCAGCCCCAAGGACAGACAGGACTGGCAGAATTATTCTCACTTTATTTCTGGAGAAGTTTGAGCAGATGCAATAACACTGATTCCAGGCGAGGGCAGGGGGCATGGGTGCCCCTAAAGCAACCAGTATCCTGTGGCCCAAGGTGACCCCCATCTCCAGACCTAGGTTCCCTCTCAGTTACAGTTAAATAGAGAGAGAAAGATCTCCTCGGGGAGACTTGGGGGAGGGTCTGCCTCCTGCACCCACCCTTCCATGCAGAGGAGTCTGAGCACAAGCTATTTACAGTATTCACATCCACTGTACCCCACCAAACCAAGGCAAAATACTACAGGCGGCCCTTCCCCAAGGGAGGAGGCCAGAGAGGCTATGAGTGTATGTGTGTGTATGGGGGGGGGTGTCCGTGCATGTGAGCACACGTGTGCACTGGGGGGCAGGGTCTGGCTCTGGCCAAAGAGACTTCAGTCTATAAGGTGCAGGTTAAAAACAACAGAGGCCTCACCCCGAGGGGCCCAGGCCACTTCCGACTTTGTCTGTCTCTTTCTCCTCCAGACTTCCTGGGGGAAGGTGCAGAGGAGCTCTCAGAACTGTTCCAGATCCAATGCAACCCCTAAAGAACTTCTGGGAAAAAGAGGGAGAGGAAACAGTCAGGGCAAACTGATGGCTGGGGATCTTAGGGCGGATAGTGGGAAGGCACCCGACAGAGCTAGGAGAAGGCAGGTCTGGGGAGTGCAGGGAAGGCTGCTGGGGAGGAACCATCTGGGTCCAGGAATCAGGGGTCCCTACCTGTGACCTGCGGGGGCTGCACCACAGCTTTCTTGAGGAAGGCTTCTGCCTCTGCAAAGGGCAGCAGTGCCTCTGGTGTTCGGCCCAGACTTTTGTCCCCCGGGGGCCCCTTGGGGGAGAAGCCATTCTCCTGGTGCGATAGAAGAGGCTGCAGGCCATTCACCAAGGACCCTGGTGACTCCTTGTTTGGCAGGCTGTGGATGGGGGAGCCAATGTCAGGTACCTCACATCTCAATAAAGGCCAGGCAATCCCCAGCTCCAGCCTGCCCCCCTGCTCGGTGTCCCTAGAATTGGGAGCTGCTACCTCCACTGTGTCTCCTGGGAGGCCAGCTCCTCTTTCTGTAACGCCTCCTTCTGCAGTGTCAAGGGTCGAGCCTCCACGGCTTTCACAGGGTCTGTCACAGGGAAGGAATGCCCATCAGTTAGGAGTTGGTGATAGAGAAGAGGTTTGGGGATGGTGATCAAGGGGAACAGGGGCTTCACCTTGGCTGGAATTGTTGACGTTTATCTCCTTTCCATCCTGCTTCTGCTTTGAAGAGGAAGAGCAGTTAGATTTAAAGGTTATCTGGACCCACCAAATGAGGCACTGGATTCTTCTCTCCCTCATCCCAGACCCTGAGTGGCCTCCCCCACAGCCTCCTTCCTTTGCCCTGGATTCCTTTCTCCAGGCTCCTTTCCTCTCTCGACCCCCATGCCCAGGGCTGCCCCCTGAGGAATCCTGACCTTGTGGTCAGCAGCTTCAGACTTCCTAGTCCTCTTCATGATCTCCTCCAGGCGCTGTTGGAGGTCCGTACCAGTCAGGCCCAAGCCCTAAACCTCCCAACAGTCAGCCGCCCTCCATTCGCCCCCCCCCCCACCTCGGTCTCAGGGCCAAGGTTGAGAACAGCCTCTCCTAGGCCAGGAACCAGATCCTGCCCCAGTTCCTCCTTCTCCTACCCACTAACTGAGCCCTACTAGTTCCATTAACTGCAACCCAAACCCAGCTCAGGAGTGGACTCCGCCCTCCGGCGCCAGGCTCCGCCCCACATAAGCCCCGCCTTCCATTGCGTGTAGGACCGCCCCTACCCTCAGCACACCTTTTTGCGCTCTTGCCGCTCCTGCTCCTCGCGCTGGAAGTGCTTTTCCCGCTCCAATCGCTGCCGCTCTGCTTCTTCCCGGGACCGAGCTTCGGCCTCCTCTTTCTGCCAAAAACCCGTGTATAAGCTTTGGGTACGTGGACTTCAGCCTTCTCTCGGGGCCACCACCCGGCCCGCCACCAGGAGGCGCCCGCGCCCAACCGGGTATGGCCGCCGCGCCCGCCTGCCCGCCCGCGGGGGCACCTGCTTCTGCAGCCGTTCCTGCTCCTCTTGCTCGGCCTGAGCCTTCTCTCGGGCCTCCTGCTCCTCCCGCCTCCGGGCCTCCGCCTCCCGCTCGGCCTGGGCCTCGGCCTCCCGCGCCATCTGCTCCTCTCTCATCCGCCTGAGGGACAGAAGACACTTGGGGCTCGGTTGCGAGCTTCTTCTCCAGCTCCCATCAGGGCCCCCTCAGTCCCCGTGGGCGCGCTCACTTGTCCCGTTCTGCCTGCAGCTTCCGCTCCTGCTCCTCGCGTTCTCGCTGCTCTCGGGCCTGGCGCCGCTTCTCAGCCAGGAGCCGAGTGGCCTCCTCCCGGTCTGTGGTTCCAGCCATGGGTTTGCTAGGGGTCACCGGGGGAGCAGGGGCTGGGGGTGAGATCAGGACAGCAGTACCTGGAGTGGGACCCAGGACCGGGAGTCAGCACACACCAGCACAGGCACCCACCACCCCTGCATGCCTCCATGCTTCCAGGACTTCAGGGTAACCCACCCATCCAACTGCTGCCGTCAACGGCGAGTGGTGAGGTCCTCTCCTCTAGCCTGTGTTTTGGGCCTGGACCCACAGAGGGCAGAAGCCTCCTCTTCCTGTCTCCCAACACTCACTCCCCAGGCACCCCTGACCACCTCACCCACACAGCCCACAAAACCAGCTTCTCTCACCCTGCCCACCTCTCAGTCCCTTCTCTTCATACCCACCTGCAGGAGCCTCCGCTGTGGGCTGCTCCTTCTGGGGCTGGGCTGGGATGGGTGAGGGCACAGGCGAGGGTGCTGGTGAGGCTGGGGCTGTTGACTCCTTCTCGTTACTGGCCCTGCCCTTGCTCTGGCTCTTGTCATCAGGCCCTGCTACGCTGGGGCTCTCCTTTGACTCATCCTTCCTCCGAATGCGTCCCTTGGGTGATGCAGTGGTGCCTCGGGGCGACGGTGGCTTTGGGGGCAGAGCATGGCCTGGCCCTGGGCTGAAGCTGGGGCAGGGAGAGGCAGGCCTATGCCAGGAGATGGAGGGAGAGGACGGCCGGGCCTTGGATTTGGGACTGCGAGAAAAGGGAAGGGTGAGGCCTTGAGGACTCAGAGAGCTCCCCTCAACTCATCCTCCCTGACCATGTCACTTCCTCAGGGAAGCTCTCCTCCCCAGGATAGGTCAGCACCCCCCACCCTACAGGCCCTCACAGAACCATTCCTTTTAGGGCATAGATCTCAGTTGGTAATTATGTATTCATTTGTGAGATTTTTTTAATGTCTGTCTCTTCATTAACCAGTAACCTTAATAATATCAAGAACTGGGTTTGGCTCACCAAAGCGTCCCAGCACCCAGAACACTCCTGGCAGGTCCATTCATTCATTCAGCAGGTATTTATGGAGTGCTTGCCAGGTACCAATCACTATTCTAGGGGCTGGGGTACTCAGTGATCAAAACACTAAACTAAACAAAACCCTGCCCTCAAAAGAACTTTCATTCTAGAAGCGGTAGCCCAACAAATGCTTGTGAAAGAACGAAGGAATGGCCTGGGGTCTGCATAGCTCCGCCCCCGCCTTGGGCCCCACCCCTGCCCACCTGAGCTCAGAGGCGGTGCCTGCCGATAGGCGGGGGCGCGGCGAGGCAGGCAGTGACTGGCGCTTTTTGAGGCTGCGCTCTCGGGCCAGGGCGTTCTTCTCCCTCTCGTTTTCCCGCTCCTTGTCCTTCTTCTCCTTTTTCTGCACCTGACGGGGCGGGGAAACGGGAAGACGTGAGGAGGAGCAGTGGTCAGCGGGGCGCTCCCTGTCCCCACCCTGTGCAGCTGCGAGACGGCCACTCACCGGTGAGGCCTCGGGCCGGCGGCGAGCTGGGGCGGGGCTGCCCCCGGCGCTGGGCTTGCGGCGCTCCCCGGCCGGGGTGCAGCGGTGCACGCTCCGGGGGGTGCTGCACGGCGTTAGGGGGCTGGCAGAGGCTGAGCGCGGGCACACAGGCACGGCTGCGGAGGGATGAGTGCGGTCGGGGTGCTGCCCGGATGCAAGGCCGGCCCTTGCCACGCCTCTCGCGGGGGGTCTCCCAGGGCCACTGCTCCTACCCTGGTCCCGGCCATTGCGAGGCAGTGTGACCGCGCTGCGACTCCGTGCCAGGAAGGAGAGGGTGGGCGTCATCAGACGGTCCACAATGCTGCTCTCCCATGCGCTCAGCTGCAGGCTCCGATCTGGGGGGAGAATGTGAGGGGAAAATCCAGTCACCACAGGGGGCCGCAGAAGGCAGGTGGAGGCATATGGGGAGTCGGCCAGGTACGTTCCCCATGCCAGGCCCAAAGGCTCTCACCCAGGAGGATGCTCCCCCCATTCACGTGGGAGCCATACTTGTCCACACTGGGGTCTGGACCTCCACTGCAGACCCAGGCAACAAGACATTTCCCAGGGCATCATCCTGCATGGGACCCTCCTACGACTCTCCCCAGGTGAAAGGGGTCTGAGTTGTGGGTATAGGAAGGAGCCACTGGTGGTTGTTGGAATACCCCCATGTTTCACTGTAGGGCTCTGCCCTCTTGCTCTTAGAGGGCCGGCCTAGGGGAAGCATGCCCGCATGGATTGGAGAATGAGGGTCCCTGTGTTCCTCTGATTCAGAAGAGGCCCAACTTTTAGAAGTCCTGTGCCAGGGAGAGGTATCTAGGGGGCCTGGCTGCCCCTGGCCACCCTGCTCAGTTCCCTCAGCTGCTAGGTTATTTTTAAGCCTCAGTCAGGTGGGGTTGGTACAGCAGCTGATTTGGTTGCTAGGCAACAGAACAACCAAATAAAAGTAGAGGAACTTATAAATAACTCCTACCATGGCTCCTTCACATGTGAGCACCAGGACATGGTGGGAGCACAGGGGCTGTGCCACTCTGGTTGCCCACAACACTGGAGCCAGCCAAGAAGACCATGGCTGGGCTCTGAAGGTAGAGGGGACCCTCTAGGGTGGAGTCATAATAAGGGATCCACACATAGACGCAGCCCACACAAGAAGCAAAGCCAGCTGGCTGTGGTTGGAGATGAGGTTGCCTGCCTATTCCCACCCCCAGCTTGCTCTGAGGTCCCTGCCAGGCTCTCTGTTCGCTGGGGCATTGCCCTTTGTCTCTCCTCCTCCTCTGTGGGGCACAGCTCTGTCCTCAGGGTCCAGACCCAAATGCCGGCTCCCCTGAGGGGCACAGAGCCCTGGGTAGGGTAGAGTGGAGGTGGAAACCTGGAGTATATGAGGGCTCCAGGGACCTGGGGTTCTTGCTGAGCTCTGGAGGAGGCTTGGTGGGGGGCTATAAGGGGCTCTAGAGGGGAAGGACTGGGCCTTCTCTTACTTCTACTGGGGGAGTTCCAGAGCGTGGCAGAGGACTTTGAGAGCCGCTTGTTGATTATAGAGTCCACGTGTTTGGGCAGGTTTACTGCCGACACGGAGCACCTGCTCCCACCTGGAGGGGAAAAGACACGGCATTAGGGCCGGGCCAGACAGGAGCCAGGGGGGGCACTGAGGCCTTCCATGCAGGATGCTCCGCGGGCAGGGTGGGAGAGGGAAGAATGGGCAGGCTAGGATGGGGAGGAGGAGGCAGACTTGGCCTTGGAAGGGGTAGGGTGGGGTGGGATGGGGGGTAGATGACCAGAGACAGCCTGGGTTGGGGGAGCCGATGGAGAAGGAACAGAGGGAGATGGAGTAAAACTAGAGAAACTACAGCCTTCCTGGCCAGAGGAAGCCATTCCCTAGGGCTGGGCACTGCAACCCCTCCACTCCCAGCCACCCAGCATTGGCACTTGCTGACACTGCCCAGCCAAGGCGCTATGGATACAACACCCACGTCCTCGGACAAATGCAGAGATGGTCCTGAACAGAAGAACCCACACAGTCAGAGTTACTTGCACAAATACAGATATTCATACAGACCACAAAGAGAAATACATGCAAACACAAGCACATCCAGTGGTAGATACGTATGCATGCACTCATGCACACGTGTGCAGACATGCACAGATACAGAGACACGAACACATCAAAGCAACCTAATTATTATATTTGTAAGAGCTACCACTTGTTGGAAGCTTACCATGTGTCAGGCACTGTCCTGGGCCACACAAACATTACCTCATTTGATCCTCCCAAACTTCTATCTACAACCTCAGTTACTATTGTTAAGTCAATTTTGACTCCTAGAGACCCCAGGTAAGAGAGCAGAAGCGCACGATAGGGTTTTCTTGGCTGTAATCTTTACGGACGCAGATCTCCTGGTCTTTTTCTCGTGGAGCAGCTGAGTGGGTTCGAACCACAAACCTTTAGGTTAACCGCAGAGCGCTTAACTCTTTGTTCTACCAGGGCTCCTCAGAGGCAGGTAATATTGTTATCCCCAATTTACAGATGAAGAAAGTGAGATATCAAGGAGTTAAATGACTTATCTAATGACACACAGTAAGTGTCAGAGTGGGGACCGTAACCCAGCTCTGTCTGACTTGGGAGCCTGCATTGAAGTATACAAGGCCACAAACACACCAAGGCAAACACATACTAAGACACACAATGCACAGATCCGTAAGCACATACACCAAAAGACACATAGCTAGGAATACTGAACCTTGCCGTTACAGAAAGAGATCCAAACACAGTGGTACATACATGCCAGCAAAGAATCAGACCAAAATCCATGATGAGCCCTATGTAAAGAAAACTCGAAGAAAAAAAACCTACCCTCCAAGATATATACATGAGGGGTGACAGTTTTCTTTAAATATTAAGTGCCTCCAGGGCATTAAAGTCTTCTTTTATGGCTCATCAACTAACAATAATTGACAGGAGCAAAGAAGGCTAATGTTAAAATGACAAAGGTTTGAAGGGCAAACCAAAATGAAGAGAATGCATGACTGATGTGCTAGTGGAAGTCCTTAGGGAGGGATAATTCGGTGTACAGACCATTCCAGAAGACACAAGTCATATGAAGCCAGGCACACCTGCTGCAGAGAGCCCCCAGCTCCTTGCACTGAAGCTGTTCTCTTCCCCCAACCCCCAACCCCCAGGCTTGCCCACCCACCCCCCAGCCCCTCCGCCTACTCACTGGTCTTACGTCCTGGTGAGTTGTGGTGCAGGGCTCCTGCCCAAGACCAGCGCTGCTGCCGGATTTCTGCCCACGTCTTCTTCACTGACCTCTGGATGGCTGCTTCATAGCGCTCCTGGGGGGAAAGTGTGGAGATAGGTGAAGGGAGAGGGCTGGGCTCAGAATCATTCATCACACCTGGAAGAAAGGCCCCTCTCTCTCCTGTGACAGTGCACCCCCCTACCAGAAGCTTTTCCTGATTCATCACAGGTAACCAAGGTTACCAAATCCTTGCTATGGTTAGGGACTACTTGCAGCGGATCCCTTTGGACTTGTTTTCGGGAGCTTGTCACTGTTCTTGAGTCATTTCCTGGGTATATGAGCTGTTGCTCTGAGGATGGGGTGGGACTCCCCTCAGCCTGGGGCCTCTGGGCAGGGCCATGTCCTCCTGGCACTGAGGGTCTGACCTTGGGCTGTGTTTTTCCCTCAGCCTGAAGCCCCAGGACAGGGCCAGGCCACCGTTTCCTCCCTGTCTTCATCAGTGCTCAAGCTGGGGCTCTACCCATATCATGGGGCTAGGCACACTCCTACAGACACATATCTGCATACATACAAACGCAGACACATGGGGCACATATGCAAACACATGTACTGACAGTGCACACATTCATGGGGCCCCATACCAGCACATACAGAACAAACAGCTACGCAGTTGCAGATCCCCAGTTATTGTAGACCCACTGGCAAAATTATAGATGTGGACACAGATACAGCCATGTACTCACAGATAGTGCAGAACCATGAACACAGATGTCTACACACTTAGCCAGTATACAGATGTGTGGAAGCACATGTACACAGATCCACACATACTCAGAAATAACACACCTTATTTTTCTCGAGCTTCTGCCGCTGCCGCTCCTCCAGGGCCGCTCGGCGCTGCTCAGCTTTAAGCCGCTGCTCTTCCAGCCGCCTTCGGCGATCCTGGAGCTGCTTCTCCCGCAGTGCCTTGGCTTTCTCCTCCTTCTCCAGCCATACCGCCTTCTTGGCCGCTGTTGGGAAAGGAGCCCCAATGGGGTGTGAGGGGTCTATAGTGGTTCTGACCAAACAAGTCTTCTCCAAGGGGCTTCCTCTATTACCTCAGCCCTGGATAGGTCCTTCTCCTCCCCTCTAAGACTCCCCCACTCAAATTGAAGGGCTTCCGGAACCAGTCTCAGGCCTCAGAATGAGGGTTTCCCTGAGGAGAGGCCCATTTCTCCCCATTGACCTCGTGGTCTCTCAGGGCTAAAGGGAAAATGAGGTCTTCAGTTAAGATCCACATGGCAGACACTGTGCTGGGCACTACACCTGTTGGCATGGGATCTGGAGTGAGATGTGACTTCTGGGTGTGAATCTTGGTTACTCTACCAGCTGTGTGGCTTAGACCAATGATTTCATCTCCCTAGGCCTCGGTTTCCTCATCCTCAAAAAGGGGTTAACACCTCACGAGGCTGTTGAGAGGATTAAATGAAGTACTGCAGGTACTGCACTTAGCACAGCACACATAATTGTTCCAGAAGTGTTAGCTATTATTAGTAGGATGCTGGTGGTGTTGATGACGATGATGAAGAAGATGACAGAGATGATGCTGCTGCTTCCCAAACACTCACCCAGGTACTTGGCCCGCTCTTCTCGACGCTCCTTTGCCAGCTTGTGTCTCTCTCCTGCCTTCTTCGCATCTTGGAGGGGAAACAAGGACAGACTTAGGTCAAAGGGCTTGCCAAAGGGGAGGTGCCCTTGGGACCCCTCCAGGCCTCACCCCCATCTCTTTCCCCACCTTCTCCAGGGTGAAAGGGATCCCCTCGGGGGGAGTCATGCAGGGCTGGGACCTCAACCAAAGACTAGGGGCAGCACACACACCTTGCTTGGTGGGGGTGCTGTCAGAGGCTGGCACCGCTGTTGGAGATGGCTGGCTGCTCCTTCGAGGAGGCCTGGTGTCTCGCAGGCCTGTAGCAGGTGGAGTGGGTCCCCTGCTCTTCACTTCAGAGGAAGGGGACTCTTCCTGCGGGGGGACTGGCCCACACCCGACCTGCCCTGGAGGACTCTCTGGTTCCAATGGGAGCTGCTTAGGGCTAGCGGGGTTCTTCATGGCAGGAGGGGTATCTGGGGGAGTGTCGGGGATGAGGGCTGACATCGGTGGTGGCGGTGGGAAGGGGTCACCTTCTGGAGAAGGTCTTGGCTCTGGGGGGGTCCTGGCTGCCACACCTGGAAGACCAACACAGGAGAAGGGAGAGGGTCAGACAGTACAACTGTGCATCAGTTCAACACATAGCCTACCTCCCTTGTCCAAAGGACCTATTCATTCATTCATTCATGCATGCATGCACGTTTATCGAGTTCCTTCTATGGTGAGAAAACAGCCATGGTTCCTGCCTTTGTGGAGCCTGCCCTTTAGCAGAGCAGACAGATTAACAGCCAGGCAATCACAGGTAACTACATTTGGGGGACTTCCTGGAAAAGTGACAACCACACTGAAACATGAAGATGAGCTGGAGCTGGCAAAGCAAGGAGGAGAGGGATGAGGGTTTCTGGCAAAGAGAAGAGCATGTGCAAAGGCCCTGGGGAGGAAGGAAGGAAGGTGTACTGGAAAAACTGAGAAAGCCTGTAGCACGTATTAATGCACCAAATGGTAATGATTTGTTTCCATGTCTGCCTCTCTCACCTCTCTACTTTACCTTAGGGCCACAGTGCCCAACCCAGGGCCTAGCACACAGAGGGTGCCTGTGCTGTCACATGGGACTGACCAAGAGAAAGGAGATAAGTGTAGGCACAAGTGGAATGCCTGTGTTGCTAAATTCTCCAGTGGGGTGGGCAACTTTGTAACAAATCCCACTTTGTAATTTTTTTTCAATGACTCCCAGATTTCTTAAGACAATATTCCAGAGACCCTGAAAAAGACACCAAAGTACCAAGTAAGGAAACCACATCATTTGCTGTATACACACATACATGTGTATGTATACATGTGTGCACATATGCACTGTGGGATGGTTGAAACACAGGCTTTGCAGTCACTCAGATGCCCCCAATTCTGATCCCACCACCCCAAGACAGGAAGGGAGGGCCTGATTCCCCAGCAGGTAACTTTGGATAAGGCAGTCAACTTAGCTCTAAGTCTCAGTTTTCATATCTGTAAAATGGGGATGATAAGCCCAAGCTAGTAGGGATTAATGTCAGTAAAGTGCCTGGAACAGTGTGTGGCACGATTCATGTGCCAGCAAACATATCCCTCCTTTCCCTGTGAGTCTCGTGAAGCTGCCAGGTCTCCCAAAGGGAAGCCTCTACATGTTGAACCTGGTGCTATCCACTGCTACTCATCCACTGACGGGGCCACTGACCAGGGCTTAGGGAGCAGAGCTGGGTCCCAGGGAAGCTGTATCTAAGGAAGCATTTTTTTTGCTCTCACTGGGCGTCTCCACACCAGGTCCTCTGCTCTGGGAACTCTGGTTGTTTCAGGAGGTGGCAAACTCCCCATCACTGTGGATGACCACATATGTTGGGGGAATGGGCACACCTAAGGAGTTGCCTTTGGGACTCTTGGTACCTTCTTCGGAGAGGCAGAGGAATCTAGTAGTTGAGTTTGGGCTCTGAAGTCAGACTATTTCAGCATGAATCCTGGGTTCCCCTTAGGCTAGTTACAGACCCTTTCTGTGCCACAGCTCCTTGTCTATAAAATGTGGACAAAATGGTACCTACCTCACAGGACTGTGATGAGCGTCAGTCATTAACAGTAACCGCTAACATTTATGTATTTATTAAGAGCTTCCTATGTTCAAAGCATTTCACACATACTAGCTTTTTAAATCCTCACTGACAAAACATATGGAGGAGGGGCTATTAAGTTATTTCTTTTGCACAGATGAGGAAAGTAAAGCAAAAAGATAAAGTAATTTGAGGTTACTCAGCTGGTAAGTGAAGGAGGCTGGATTTGAACCCAGGCATCTGTTACCAGAGCCCAGGCTCTTAACCCTTCATGCCCTCCTGCTTCTGTTTAAGGCAGTAAATGAGGTAGTACATGTTATGCAATGAAATCATCTAAAGCTCACGCTATTTACCTCTCATTCCTTCCCTTCTAGCTTCCTGGGCTCTAGGCAAAAGCCCCAGCCAAGGTCCTGCCTTCCCAGCAGCCCCTCCAACTCTGCCAGCCTGGACACTCTGTGACATCCAACCAGCTCTCCCATACCAGCTTGAGACAGGTGTCTGCTCACTGCCAGTCTATTTCCCAGCCAGCTGCAAACTCCTTTGCCGACTCTAATGGGCAATAAAACTAGTGGCAACCATTTATGAGTGTTCACTACATGCCAGGAGCTGAGGTAAGCCCTTTGTATCCCCATCTTGCATCCTCACGACTCTGAAAGGTAGAGATTCTTGTTCCCATTATACAGATGAGGCAATTGAGGCTCACTCTGCTAAGTGATTTGCCCAGGGTCATAGACCTAGTACGTGGCGGAGCCAGGATTTGAACCCAGGACTGTCTGAGGCCAAAGCCTGGGTGTGCGAGTACTAAGCTTGAAGGCTGAGGGCGAGGCCTATTTATCACTGCTTTCCTAGCACTTGTAGGTGCTGCAGGTGTTGCAAGGAAAACTAGTAGGCGGGTGTTTTTCTACACCTAGGCAAATCACACCCACCAGGCAAGATAGTGAATCCCCAAGTAGGTCCCGATTAGCTGTCTGAAGGGGGCCTGGGAAGAGGTAGAGAGAGTAGGGCCTCGAAGGACCTAAACCTGGGCGTCAGATGCAGTGGAGTACAAAGGTTTTACGCTTCAAAATCAGGGAAGCCTGGGTGGGGATCCCAGCTCTGCTGTGAGACCTTGGCCAAGCCCTAAACCTGTCTGAGCCTCAGTTTCTTCCCTGAATGGTTGTGACAGAGAGCAAGTAGGTAGGCCATCTCGGGCATCTGGCAGGGGCTCAGTAAGCAGCAGCTGCTCTGAAGACTCTGTGCACGTCTCCCCATCTCTGCCACAAGAACCCACTTTGGTTAGGCCTTCACCTCCACTGCTCCATGAGACTGCTTCTCAAGGTCACCCATAACCTCCACGTTGCTAAATCCAGTAGCCATTTTTCAGTCCTCATCATACTTGACGCAACAGCAGCACTTGAAACTGTTGGCCTCTTGGTGCTCCTTGGAACACTTTTTTCACTTGGCTTTGAAGACAACACACTCTCCTGATTTCCTTCTACCTGGCTGGCTGCTACTTCAACGTCTTCTTTGCTGGCCCCACCTTAACTTCCTAACGTCTTAACGCTGGCCTGCCCCAGGGCTCAGTGCAGGACCTCATCGCTTTTCACTTCTCTCGCTACACTCACTCCCTTGGTGATCTCATCCAGACTCATGGCTTTAAATACCATTGGTCTGCTGATGACAACCAAATATGTATCTCCAGCCCAGACCTCTCCTTTGAGTTCCAGTTTCATTCACGCAACTCCCTACTTGACACCCCTGGGTGTCTAACAGACGTCTCAAATTGAACACATCCAATCTTCCCCCCAAAACCTGCCCCCGCCCAGTTTCCCTTGTCTCAGTTAATGGTAACCCCATCCTTCCAGGTTCTCAGGCCAAAAACCCTGGAGTCATTTTAGACTCTTTTTTTATTTAATTGTGCATTAGGTAATTCAGAAGGGTGTCAGGGCCATAACCTCGGGGGTTCAGGACTCTTCTTGTCTCACACCCCATATCTAATCTCTCAGCAAATCCTTTTGGCTCTATCTTCAAAATAATATTCCAAGTTCAATCACTTCCATCTCTACCACCATGGTCCAAGCCACTATCATCTCTTGTAAAAGACTCCCTGCTCCCATTGTTTGTTCTCCTCTGGTCTCTTATCAATACAGCAGCCAGAGTGAGTCTGTTTAAAAGTAAGTCAGATCATGTTACTCCTCTGCCAAAATCCTACGACTTACTCCCCATGTCACAGAGAGGAAAAAGCAAATTCTTCACAGTGGCCTATAAGGGCCTCATCTTCTCCTCCTCTCCCCGTGCCCAGTCTCCTCCAGTCACACTGGCCTCTTCATTCCTTAAGCATGTCAGGCAAGCTCCTGCCTCAGGGCTTTGCACTTGTTCCCTCTGGTGAGAATTCTTGGTGCCCAGATTCTGCATGGCTCACTCCCTCACCTTGAATATCCCCTTTACTCTAATGTCAGTTTCAGTGAAGCCTTCACTGACCTCCTAATTTAAAACTACACACTGCAACTAAACTCTCCCTCCTCTTTCCAACTGTACTTTTTTCTTTCCAACTCTATTTTTCTCCCTAAGCATTATCACCATGCTAACACTCTCTCCTATCACAAGAACACTGTCTCCATGAGGGCACAGATTTTTGTCTATTTTGTTAGCTGCTGTATCTCTAGGGCCAACAGACCCTGGTAGATAGGTGCTTCGTAGCTATTTGCTGACTGAATAAATGAGAGAACTCCACCCAGCAGACCACAGCATCATCACCTTTTACCTGGATGACTGCAAAGTCCTCCCAGTGCTCCACCTGCACCCATCCCTGCTCCGCTCACCACTGAGAAGCCAGACTCATCTTTTCCAAACACAAATCTAATGCTGGTAATCCCTGCCACTTGCAACCTTGCAGTGGCTTCTCATTGCTCTGAGGATAAAGATAAAATTCTTGCACCCAACCTACAAGTCTGGCCTAGTCTGGCCATGCTGTCCCTCTCCCCCACCTGTTGAATCTTGTGTCCTACCCTGCTCCCCACTTGCTCTCTGCACTTACTTTTTTTGGTAATTTTTTCTATTGTTGTAAAAATACATATAGCACAACATCTGCCAATTTAACATTTTTCACATTACAGTTTAGTGACATCAATTACATTAATCATGTTGTGCAACCATCACCAATACCCATTGCCAAATTTTCCATCACCGTAAGTAGAAACTCAATGCCTCTCCTTTGCCCCATCCCTTCTGTCCCTGGTAACCACTAATAAACTTAGGCACACAGACCTTCTTTTAATTTCAGTAACCATCCATGCTCCCTCCTGCCGCAGGGCCTTTGCACGTGCTCTTTCCCCTCTTTTCTAGTTAACTCCTAGCCACCCTTCAGATCTTAGCTCAGTCATCATTTCCTCAGGGAAGCCTTCCCTGGCCTCTCTTCCTTTATTATATGCATCCACAACTTCATGTGCTTCTTGTTTGGAGTGCTGCACAGTTACAATTTTAACCTTCATTGTGTGTTTCTTTCATTATTGTCAGTTTCCCCC